CTGTGCCCAAGTAACTACAACACTCTAAGCATTCCTGACAATATGACAGCAGCTTCTTTCCCTCATCAGGGTGCCTGTTGCCAACCCCGCCTTACTGAAAATATCTGTGCAGCCTTCAGGTACATGCAGGGTACCTTTTGAGGCCCTCTGTATCCATACTTTTCCTATCTTCTGGTCTCTGGGTCCAGGGAGTTAAACTGGGTCTGTAGGTTCTGTTTCTGGTTGGCTTTGACTAACTAGTAGCTTAGAGACCAGAGACGGGAGCAGGAAAGTTGGGTCATGGGCAACTCTACTTTCGTTAGATTCTCTTGCTAGTCAATATTGTGAGACTTCAGAACACCCCCCACACACACACACATTCCCCCATGATGAATGATTGAGCAGCAGTTAAGCTCCCAGCTCTGCCATTCTTCTCCCTCTGCGCCTTTGTGAACAAGCAAAGCAAGTATGCTGTTTATAGGGAGCCTTAGGACCCTGACCTGTCCACAGTGACCCAGCACAAACCTCAGGGGGCACCTTGTGAGTACCGTTGTCTGTCACAGATCTGGTTACCAACATTCTGTCTTCTCCCTGAGGCTGTCTCATGTCACCTTGCCTTGCAGAGATGCATGTTGCTCAGACATCTTAGTGAGCAGTTTTTATATGCTGGGCTGTGACCTAGGCATTGCAGATTTAGAGGTTAATGAAGGATCAAAGCTGGTCTTGCCAATCTCTAACTTCAGGACAGGCAATTAAATTTGAGCCTCATTAGATATAATGGTTATGAGCACAGTACCAATTAGCAGATAAGTCTTAGTTCTATGAACTAGCTGGGATGTGACTAGGTTATCTCTCTGAGCCTCAGTTTCCCAGTCTGGAAGTCCACATAAGAGCAGTCACTTTAGGCATTTGTTGGGAGGACTCAAGTAGTTAGCATAGTATCCTGATATGTGCTTGACACTCAGTAAGCATCCATTATTTATTTTGATTGTAGTGGGTACTTGGTTTATATACAGTAAGTAAATAAATAGATATATTATTGAATGATAATCGAATGAATGTCTCATACTCAGGTCCAGCTGTCTCCCATCTCCCAGCAGCTGTAACTATGCTGTTTTTCTGAATTATTGGGAGTTCCAGGTCCTGGAAAAATGACCTTGGCTTTTGCTCCAGTTTCCTTGCTTTGGAATATTGTTCCCAGAGCACCATGACCCATTCTGTGGCTAACACATCTGGCTGCAGGTGTTCCTGGAGTTTGTAAACATGGGTTGCCAGGCTCTTCCTTGAAGCTCACAGTTTCTCAGAAACTGCCTGGGTTCCTGTTGAGCTGCCTTGTTTCTGAAAGGCTTCCACAAGCTCCATTGCCCTTCTGGTAAACCCGACTGGCAAGGGTTCTACTTTCGCTTTCACTGAATACCCTCAAGGGGAGATTTCTCAGCAGGGAGGGCATTGTCCTTTCTCCTTGGGCCCAACCTCCAGTCTTCCCCTAAGGCTTCAGAGTTTTTAGGATGTACTTAGCTTTACAATGATGCTCCTCACAACAGCAAGCTTTCCAACTGCTTCAGAAATTAGCAGGTAGGATGCCTGTGGCAACCAGTCTGAATGTGGCATGCTTTCCATACTGCTCCCCCTCTTATCCACAGTAGTACATCCCTGCAGGTTGACTTACCTGTAGCCAACTTCCATCTGAAAATATTAAACAGAGGATTTAGAACCACTTCCTACATTAGCAGCAGCCGGCCACTATAATTGTTCTGTTGTATCTGTACTTGATAATCTCTCACTGGGCCTAATTTGAAAGCTAAACTTTATCATGGGTGTGTAAGTGTGGGAAAACCCCTGCATGCCCAGGCTTCCATACTGTCTACACTTTTAGGTGTGATAGCATCTTGGAATGTGTCCCCTACCAATAAGGGGAGGTTTCTGTATACTCTCTGTTCCTCCCAACATCCCTATTTGGTGGACAGGATCCCAAGCCAACAGATGTGGGAATTTGGGCTCGGGGTGATGGAAAACCTAGAGTTGGAAGGTTTAAAGAGAAAACCCCATAACTTTGACCTTTAGAAACAAAGTTAAAAATGATAGCAGATGGAAGCCCCCAAGGGAAACTCGGCTCTGCTGTTTCTGTCACTTTGTTTCCTATAAATGACCAGGTTACTTGTGTGGATTTGTCTCTCCTACCTGACCACTCCTCCTCAAGGATTGTGTAGGTGACTCAGTTCAACCTGATCATTTGCCCCAGGACATGGCTTGAGTTGAGGAAGGAGTGATGAGAAGTAAGGAGGGGAGTCTGAGAAGCCCAAAACACTGCAGAAAGCTGAGACTGGATGGAGGGTAGCTGTGAGTACCAGATCATGGAAGGACTTAGGGGTCACTGAGAAGCTGGCTTGAACCCTGGGTGCAAGAGGAAGCCACCGAAGGCTCCTGAGCAGAGCTCTTGCGTGATGTGAAAAGAGAATTCTGCAGGAGGGTGAAGACAGTAGGAAAAACGCAAAAAAAAGCCAAGTTGGAAGCTATTACAGCCGCCTAAGCCAGAGCTGGGCGAGACTCGCACACCTGCAGTTCTCAGGCTGGAGCAGGGAAGGGTAGAACTTTCTGATCTCATTGCTAGGGTTTCCGGGCAAGTACTGAGGGTATGTTTCTATCAAAATTGGTGCTACTAGTCTTCCAGCACCACTGGATTAGAAAAGGTGGGGCTGGAGAGGACAAACACGGACGTCCTCCAGAAGACCTCTGTGCATGTAAGAAGTAGGAGAACAGTGCAGTTTGAAAGCAGCAGACATGTGTCTTCTGTAGGACGTCTCCCCAGTGCAGGTGGAGAGATGCTCAAGGGAAGCTTCTAGAAGAGGAAATGGCAGGTGAGCACCTAAGGGAGATCCTGGGGATAGGTGGTAGAAGACAATACTCAAAGCAGAAGACATAGCCCATGAAGTAGAAAACAGCAACATGTTTAAGCAATTGGGGCCGAGAGATCCAAAATGAAGAGACTGATGAAAATCTGAGAGGCTGGTGAAAGCAGCTGTGTGCGCCTGATAGCTAACCACACACTTTAGGGTACTCACAAATCCCTAAATCCTTCCTGTAACTTTCAGAGAATGTCACCATCCGGCTCATCTTTTAGCTAGGTTACTGGGGTCAAGTCAAAAAGTAGTATTTGATTCTCCTTTATCTGGTTTGAGTCCAGGCCACTTGGCAGTACAGGTCAACTAAGCAGGAAGCCATTTGTGACAGTCACATGCTAGAGTCGATGGGTAGCTGTCAACTGGATCCAGAGCTCCCCGTGACTTCAGGACTAGAGATCAGGGACACAAAGTCACCATTCTGGTGAACTAGGTATGTGGACAGCATGGGCCTGTGGGCTCCTGAGAGGAAGCATAGTGTCATTTCTTTTAAGTTTTTTTTTTTTTTTCAATACACAGAGATGAGATGTGAAATCGAAGGCCAGACAGTGAAGGCTTGTCAAAAGATGGGCAGCGCACCAGGGCACCGGGACTAGAATTTAACCATGAATTTAGCTCCCCGTGTCAGCCTCTTGCCTTAGACTGGCCCTGGTGTACTCTGCCTTGGTCACTTCTTGAGATTCTAAGGTCTTACAGTTCTGATTCTCATGGGCAAGTAGCTCTCCACTGTTCCTTGGGTACCTTTGTACCTCATGATCTTAGGCTGAGCCACATGCATAGTTCGTAAACATTTGGCTCCCTCCTTGATTTCCAAAATCATCTCTAAAACAAAAGAACTTCAAAGGTTTTCCCAGTACTTTCTCTATTCTGAGCTTTGGTGTTCTAGGGAGTCTTCTAAGCCTCCAAATTCTGCTGCAGCTATGGCTCCTCAGCATCCAACTCTTTTCAACAGTCATTAGCATGTTTTATTTCTTCCTGGAGTCAAAACACTGATCTAAGCACTTTGATCACTCCCAATGTATGGATGAAAACATCAAAAAACACACAGAGAAGTAAGGCTATGCAGCTAACACATTGTGGATTCAAAGGTCAGACCCTAGCAAACTATCCGAGGGTCCATGACCCTTGCCCCAGGAAACAAATGCTGAAGGGTTAAAGGTACATGGAGGACATGGGGACATCAGGGGAAGTCCTAATGACAGACAGCTTACTGCTCCTTGAGGCCTTTTCTCTTCTTGTTCCTATTCTGCAGATTGTGCAATGCCTTGTGACATCCTCCCACCCGTGGAGAAGAGCTCACAAGAAATCATCCTATGAGTGTGGAAAGAATTGTAGACGTAGCAGACAAATATACAGACTGTCTGGCTAAATTTTGAATTTCAGATGAACAATAAAAAAATTTAACTGTAACTATGTTCTGTGCAACATTGGTATGTGTGTGTGTGTCTGTGTGTGTCTGTATGTCTGTGTGTGTCTGTGTGTGTGCGTGCATGTGTGTGTGTGTCTGTATGTCTGTGTGTGTGTCTGTATGTCTGTGTGTGTGTCTGTGCGTGTGCGTGCATGTGTCTGTGTGTCTGTGTGTCTGTATGCCTGTGTGTGTGTCTGTATGTCTGTGTGTGTGTGTGTGTGCGTGTGCGTGTGCGTGTGTGTGTGCGTGTGTGTGTGTGTGTGTGTGTGTGTGTGTGTGTGTGTGTGAAAGAGAAAGAGAGAGAGAGAGAGAGAAACAGTTTCACGGCTCATATGAACTTCAGGTTTAGCCGACGGTGGTGGCGCATGCCTTTAATCCCAGCACTCGGGAGGCAGAGGCAGGTGGATCTCTGTGAGTTCAAGGCCAGCCTGGTCTACAAAGCGGGTTCCAGGAAAGGCACAAAGCTACACAGAGAAACCCTGTCCTGAAAAACAAACAAACAAACAAAAAAATGAACTTCGGGTTTAACTGGGCATCTTCTCTTTTATCTGGAAAACCCACTTCTAGCAGCACAGTAAGGGCAGGGTGGTGATTCCACTCCAGAATATCCATGGGTGTGATTCTTGCTTTGTATATTGGCATAGAAAGCTTGACACAATCAGTTTCAAAACCATAGGAATAACCAGGCCTGGTGATATGAGCCTATAATTTTTACTACCTACTTAGGGAACAGTGAATTTCAACTGGCCTGACTAACTTTTTGAAACCCCTTCTCAAAATTAAAAACTTAAAGGAGGGTTAGGGGTCGAGCTTTAGAAGAAGAATTTGTGTCATTCATAAAAGGTGCTAGGCTCAGTTTCCAGCATAGACACAAACAAAGCACAGAGTGGCCCTACTTCTTCAGTGTCTCCCCTGGGGGAACCTGGAAAAGACTCTCCAGCCTGGAGCAGAACTCCCTAGGATGACATGTGTAGGCCTGCTCACAGGTAGTATTGTGGTATTGTGTTCCCCAAAATATTGTGCACTCTAATAAACTTATCTGGGATCAGAGAACAGAACAGGCACAATATTAAACATAGAGGTTAGGCAGTGGTAACACACCCCTTTAATCCTAGCATTCCAGAGGCAGAGATCCACCTGGATCTCTGGTGAGTTCAAGGCCACACTGGAAACAGCCAGGCATAGTGACTCACGCCTTTGATCCCAGGGAGTAATGGCAGGAGGCAGAAAGGTATTTAAGGTGTGAGGACCAGGAACTATAGGCTGGTTAAGCTTTCAGGCTTTCGAAAAGCAGTTCAGCTGAGATCCATTTGGATAAGGACTCAGAGGCTTCCAGTCTGAGGAAACAGGATCAGTTGAGGAATTGGCAAGGTGAGGTGGCTGTGGCTTGTTCTGTTTCTCTGATCTTCTGGCATTCACCACAGTACCTGGCTTCAGGTTTGATTTCATTAATAAGATCCTTTAAGATTCATGCTACAGGGTAGTGTGTTCCAAGTTCTGTTTTTAAAGCTCTTCAGGGTCCTCATGCTGTTCTCTACTGCTGCATCCTCCCTTCTTCTCTTCGCAGTTATCTCCTGCAGTAACTGGAGAAAAATCAGAAAGAGCATTTAGTTGCATCAATAGATTTGACCCTTCTGCTTGACATCTCACAACCAGGGTCTAAGTAGACTGTTCTCTTGCTTTTCCTCATGATGCAGGTGACAGGGATCTAGGAGAAGAATAGCAGCCCTGACAGGATTGTGTGACCTCAACAACATGTTACAAATTCCCCCAAACCTCACCTAGGATAGTTCTAAAATCCAAATATGTGTGCCCATTTGTGTTGAAGCTTGATTTGTTCGTGACTGTTATCCCAGCAGACCCCTTGGCTTGACCAAACCTTCCTCTGTTCCTCCCAGCCTGTCTCCAACCACGTCCCACCTGTGTCCTGTGTCCTGTGTCCTGTGTCCAGCCGTTTCTTCTAGCAGAGTATTTCTGAGTTCTTGGGCAAACTGGCTTCTCACATGCTTCCAATCCAGTTACCAGGATGTCCCAGGTCAGATCGAATTTACATGAAGTGTTTTGGGGTGGGTATACCTTGCCTGCTGGGCAGCCACACTGAGCAGCTGAGAAACATGCACAGGATGCAAATCAGCATCCCAAAGCAGAAGATGATGCTTTCATGGGCATCTGGAATGGGGTCCAAGGTGCCTTAAAGAGTACCTGTCATACGCACAAATTCAGAAGCCAAGGCATCAAAAAAAATGTGCATTCAATCCTTTAGTCACTGTGCTTCCATATTACAGATTTTCCATCCGGAAGTGTCTTAGTTAGAAATTTTATTACTGTGAAGAGACACCATGACCATGCCAACTCCTATAAAGAAAACATTTAGGGCTGGAGAGATGGCTCAGAGGATAAGAGCACCAACTGCTCTTCCAGAGGTCCTGAGTTCAATTCCCAGCACCCACATGGTGGCTGACAACCATCTGTAATGAGATCTGGCGCCCTCTTCTGTATACATAATAAATAAATAAATCTTAAAAAAAAAAAGAAAGAAAGAAAACATTTAATCGAGGTTGCCTGTTTACAGTTTCAGAGGTTTAGTCCATTATCATCATGGTAGGGAGCATGGCTGTTGGGAGTACGGTGTCCAGAGAGACATGGTGGTGGAGAAGTAGCTGAGAGTCCTACATCTTGCAGGCAACAGGAAGCTAACTGAGACACTGGGTGGTATCTGAAGCATAGGAAACCTCAAAGACCACCCCCACAGTGACATAATTTCTCCAATAAGGCCATACTCACTCCAACAAAGTCACACCTCCTAATAGGACAAAATATGTACCCCACCCCTTTCCATTTATATCTTGTTCATCCATTCACTGAGTATTTATGAAAATCTACTATCTATTGGAAGAAGCAGAACGTGTCATTAGAATATTGGAATTGGGGAGCAAACAAATAAAAAGTGAACGTCAGTTGTTGATGTATCGTGAAGAAAACAGCATTTTAAGCATGAAGATGGAGGCTGGGAAGATACCTCAGTAAAGTGCTTGCTCTGTAAGCATGCAGACCTGTGTTCAATCCCAATTACCCACGTACAAAAAGCCAGGCATAGTGGTACATACTTACAATGCCATCAATAGAAAGACAGAGACAGGAGAACCCCTGGGGCTCCATGGCCAGGCAACATAACCTACTTGGTGAGTTTCAACCAATGAGAGACACTGTTTCAAACAGCAAATGAACAAAAAGCCTACAAAGGATTGTTATGAAATAATTCTTTTGTACACTGTGAAGAAGTGTCACTCTGATTGGTTTAATACAAAGCTGAATGGCCAATAGCTAGGCAGAATTTCCAGGAACAGAGAACACTGGTAGAAGGAGGGTGAAAACACAAGGAGACACAGAGGAAGCAGGAAAACAGGATGGACAGTATGTAGATGAGGTAAACAAGCCTCAGAGCAGCATGTAGATGAATAAAAATGGGCTAATTTAAGTTATTATAACAGGTAGCTGAAAACAAGCCTAAGGTATTAACCAAGATTTTGTAATTAATAATAAATCTCTGTGTAGTGATTTGGGAGCTGGCTGGTGGGACAGAGAAAGACTCACTATAAAAGTCATCCAACATAGGGCACATATTTCCACAAAGGACCTGAGAAAGCCTTTAAAAAATTACCAATCACACAAAAACAGAGCCAAAGATGGTTTCCTAGTCCCTCAGTCTCTCATGCAAGCCACAGTACAGAGACTGTCACCCAGCCACTGCCAGTGGGCTTGATCTGCCAGTTCACCATGAACTAAGTTGTGCGGTGGTTTAATATTTTGCTTATACAGACAAAGAAGGTTACAGATATGCAGTAAAGCAGGTTCAGATGGCAAAAAAAGCTCTAAACAGACTACAGTGTGATCAACAATGTGTGTAGGCTTAAGAAAAAAAAGAAAAAGAATATAGACAGTCATAAAAATAATAATTTAAAAATAATAAAACAAAGTCTTTAAAGAGAAAAGTAAAGTAATAAAAATTAAACGATGTAGAGATGGGAAATACACAGTAAGTCTGGATCCTTTATGGTGTTGTATTGATTTAAATTTTTTTGAATGCTGATAAGCAAACAATAGCTGCTCAGAAAAAATAGATTATAAAGACTACTAAATTAAACCACCTATATATTTAAAAAATGTTTTAACTTTAAAATGCAAGTCAAAAATATGTTCCATTGAGAAGAGGTTATACTTTTGTTTCTACAGAAAACAAAAGGCTGTGGATTTATTCAATGTTGATAGAGATCAGATTTGATCAGGGAAGATCCCCTGAGAATTCTGGCTACAGACATAAATAAATAAACTTAAAAAAATACAAGATAGGTGACATATATGTTACCTGCTAAAACAAAAAAAAATCATCTTTAACTGACTTGTGTACACTGCACATTTCATACTTGTGTTAATGCAGACACATGTTGCCTTTGAAAGTTTGTGTGTTTTCATAACAAGGGGACCAGACACCAGTGAAAATGGGTGGCCCAGGTGATCTAGCCTCTTAGAGTGCCTCTGTTGCAGTTTCCTCTGAATTGTGCATCCAGAACAGCTTCAAGCTGCTGGATGACATGGTCTGGTCTCATAGACCATTATAGCCAGGACTTGACCATTATCCTAATTTTCTCAGGTCCCCAAATATGCCAGCACCCCCAGACAGCAGGAAGCTATCTAGAGAACACAACACCCACATTCCCAAGAGATGAGAGTGGGTGATTTTTTGGTCATTCAGTAGGTTATGGATGCTTATCATTGTTTATGGGGGTTGGTTACAAATTGTTATTTATCATGGTCAGAAAAAAAAAGATGAGATTCAGAGATCTTTTTGAAGAGAAAAAGTGGAAATATAGCATAGAAATGATGGGATAAAAGGGTGGATTGTTGAGTCTACTTTTGAACAACCACTAGTCTCAAATATTTTACATTGGTATGGATTTTTGTATATTGATACAAATTTAAGGTTATTTTTGTTATACTGTATATATGCTTCTGTTCTTGTTTAAAGTATTGTACCTATGCAGCTCATTTTAAAATGCAATGTAAAGTTCTAGTCCTTGAAAGCTATGTAGGATAATAAAGAAATACAGGCTAGTAGTTAGTCATCTATGACAATCAAACTTATAGTAATTTTAATATATTTTCAAAGTCAATCAGTAATATATTTTAAATTATAGAATATGGCATGTAAAGTGTTTTAATAACATAGGGCTTTTCATGACAGTGAGACACATCTGCTCCTGGCAGCACCAATTTACTTCAAAAAAAGGATGATGGGCATTGAAGAACCTTCATATAGGGTCACTTTCTTTGTGGCAAAAACTAGCCACTGGGCAAAGAAACTGCCTTTGTCACAATTGCTGGCAGTATGTTCTCCAAATTGTACAAGTAGGACACAAAAGAAAGTGTCTGCCAAACTTTGCCAAGACAAGGTAGGACAGTCCTTCAAAATTCTTGCTTCACAGAAAATCCTGTCAGATATACTAGGCTTGTAGGCCAAAGACAGATGCCCCAACATTATAGAGGAACCTTGGGTGATTGTCCAGGCAACCAGTTGTTTCTGTCATTTCTTATAGCTTTAGAAGTTTCTTGCTCTGCACTTCCTGTTTACTTGGGTAATATTATATCATTCTCAGGTCTTTGGTAGTGTTGAAGACTACATAGTTATAGTTATAGTTTCCCTTAGTCATGATAGAAAGCAAATTAGGTACAAAACTCTGCACTTGTCAAGAGAGAAGAGATAATGGAGTAATTTCTCTGAATTTGCCCAATACAAATGAACTGGACATTGCAAATGTAATTCTTACCTGATAATTGTTCTTATTGTAAATAGTTTTGCTGTGTTAGAATTAAAACTTTTCTTTTGTATTTAGACAAAAAGGGGGAAATATTGTGAAATAATCGTTTTGTACACTGTGAAGAAGTTTCACTCTGATATTGGTTTAATAAAAAGCTAAATGGACAATAGCTAGGCAGGATTTCCAGGCATAGAGGACGCTGGGAAGAACGGTGGAAACACAAGGAGATACAAAGGAAGCAGGAAAACAGAATGGACAGTATGTAGATGAGGTAAACAAGCCTCGGGGCAGCATATAGATTAATAGAAATGGGTTCATTTAAGTTTTAAGAGCTAGCTAAAAACAAGCCTAAGCTATCGGCCAAGCTTTTGTGTAGCATGAATCTGATCAATAATAAGATTAAACCTGGAGCCAGATATTGGGGTGAATGCTCAAAGATCAGAGAAGCAGAACAAGCCACAGCTACCTCACCAATACCTCACCAATTCCTCGCCAATTCCTCAGCTGATCCTATTTCCTCAGACTGGAAGCCTCTGAGTCCTCATCCAAATGGATCTCAGCCGAACTGCTGCTCAAAGCCTAAAAGCTTAACCAGGCCTAGTTCCTGGTCCTCACACTTTATATACCTTTCTGCTTCTAGCCATCCTTCCTGGGATTAAAGGCGTGAGTCACCATGCCTGGCTGTTTCCTGTGTGACCTTGAACTCACAGAGATCCAGGTGGATCTCTGCCTCTGGAATGCTAGGATTAAAGGCCTGTGCTACCAATGCCTAACCTCTATGTTTAATATTGTGGCTGTTCTGTTCTCTGATCTCAGATAAGTTTATTAGAGTGCACAATATTTTGGGGAACACAATACCACCACACTTTCATAATTAATAATTCTCTGTATAGTGACTTGAAAGCTGACTGGTGGGACAGAGAAAGATTCGCTATAAAGGATAGGCAGTACCTGAGCCACAATACAAAAAGCTGTCCTCTGGCTTCTACATGTATACACACACACACACACACACACACACACACACACACACACACACACGTGCAGGGAGACAGTGCAATTGGTGAAGTGCTTGCCACTCAAGCATGAGGACTTGAGTTTGGATCCCTAGAACCCATGTAAAAACAGTCAGGTGTAGTAGTATGGACCTGTAATCCCATCAGTGAGGAGGCAAAGACAGGAGGGTCTCCATTTCTTGCTAGCTAAATACCCTAGTTAAATCAGTAGACTCCAAGTTTGGTAAGAGACATTGTCTCAAAAAATGAGATGTGGAATAATTAAAGAAGATACCTGATATCAATCTCTGGCCCCCACATACATGTGCAAATATGTGTGCCTATATGTACAAACACACAAACTTGTTGCAGTGGTTTGAATAAGAATGACCCCCATAAGTTCATATATTTGAATGCTTAGTTTTGTCATCAGGGAGTGGCACTATTTGAAAAGTATTAGAAGGTGTGGCCTTGTTGGAGTAAGTGCATCACTTGGGACAGGCTTTGAGGTTTCAAAAGCCTATGCCCAGTCTGTCAGTCTGTCTGTCTGTCTGTCTGTCTGTCTCTCTCTCTCTCTCTCTCTCTCTCTCTCTCTCTCTCTCTCTCTCTGCCTATGGATCAGGATGTAATTCTCAGCTACTCAGCTACTGCTCCAGCATCTGCCTCCATGCTGTCATGCTTCCCACCATGACGATAATGGAATAAACCTCTGAAACTATAAGCAAACTCCAATGAAATGCTTGCTCTTATAATAGTTACTTTGCTCATGGGGTCTCTTCCTAGCAATAGAACAGTGACTAAGACACTTGTGCACACATACACACACACACACACCAAGTGGCAACATGAGGATTTAATCTATATAGGAAGTGATTAGGAGAGATGTTTTTGATTCTATAATTTTTATTTTATTTTATTTTTTGGTTTTTCGAGACAGGGTTTCTCTGTGTAGCTTTGCGCCTTTCCTGGGACTCACTTGGTAGCCCAGGCTGGCCTCGAACTCACAGAGATCCGCCTGGCTCTGCCTCCCGAGTGCTGGGATTAAAGGCGTGTGCCACCACCGCCCGGCTGATTCTATAATTTTTAAGTGGGCAGAGCCTTAAGGGAAATGAAGCAGTAAGCCACATCCCAGGGCAGCAGAATGGAAGCAAATGCAAGGACCAACTGCAAAGCAAGAGCATATGTAAGAGTTAGAGGCAATGAAGGAGGCCTAGGAAATGGAGCAGGGGTTGGGGAGGAAGAGCCACTGGAGAGGAGGTCCAAGAAGATCTTGTGGGCACTCAAGCCAGTGGAAAGGGCAATGTTTAAAGTGATAGGGAAATCCACTGAGGATTTCATCAAGTTGATCAAGCTCTCTCTAAAGGCTCTGTCTGTATAGTTGAGAGCGAATAGATGTGAGGGTAGGAAGTCATTGTAATAGCTGTAGCAGGAGATGATGGAGACTGTGACTGAGGTGGTGATGCTGGGAAATGTGTAAGTCACTTAAGAGCTCTGCAGTTCACCTTGGCCAAAAAAAGAAGCAAGACTCTAGGATTCTGATATGCTTGCAAGCTGAGGATTTATTTGTTTTTTTCCCTTTCCTAATTTTATTGCTATATATTTGACAAGCACAAATTGTGTTTATGTGGCATGTAACATTGCAATTTGACTGAGCCATCTTGCCAGCCAGATAGCTCAATTTTTGATGTTTTCTATAATAGCTAAATTAATTTATATTTGCACCATTCAGGAATGAGGGTTTCCTGTCTTTCTTGCCCTTGCCAATACTTACCCCAGTCCTCTGGAAGAGTAGCAAGTGCTCCTTTCCATACACTGAGCCATTGCTTCACTTTTCTCATTTTGTGAAACAGATGTTTCCAATGCAGAGTTAAGCTTCGTGGTGATGTGGTGGACAGTGATTATAGGACCTCCAGTCATCATAGATAATTCAAGGAATGGAGAGGTGATAGATTTCAAGCATCTTTGGAATTCCCTAAGGGAGGAGGCAGGTATATAACAAAGATGTAACCAACTGTTTGAATAAAGGTTTGATACAAAACTGAGAAAATGTCACTTACAGGTAGCAGCTGAAACCACTGGGATAAGTTAAGAATAGTCTTTTCCCGTTCCTATATTATGCAGTTTTCCTGTGAGCTACATGTATCTTGATTAATAAAAGAAAGAAAAGATAAAGGGTAATTGTTCTAGGATACTGTGTTAAGGAAAGGCAGGGAAAGGAATGCATTTCCTGGAGGTATAATTTTTTTAATGAAGTAGCTCTATATTTGTTAGTTAGGAAAAAGAAGACAACTTAGCCACTTGGGCATAAATCCCTCACATTGTACTACCTGGGGTTTGAAATTTTCATTGGTGTGGGTCAGCTGAACCACCTGAATATATCTAAGGTATTTGGCAGTGTTTCTGTATGGAACATGAACTTACTTTGTTCAGCTGTGTGGTTTGTGGGCTCCTTGAGGAAACTGTGCACATGTGTAAGTTTCGTGCAAAATGTTTTTGTGCTTTAGAGTGTGTGTCAATGTGTTTTGTCAGTTAGTACTTGCTCTATCAACCCAGTAGCCCAGGATCAGCAGAGTTGGGCTCCTGTACTAGCTCTCATTATGACATCTTCAAGTCATAGTGACATCTTTAAGTTCAGATGATCACTCTGCTCTCTGTAGTTGAATGACCATGTGCACTTCTGGCCTCACTCTGAAGGACACCAGGACACTGTGATTCTGGAAAGGCAGTCAAGACAGCTAGGTGAACGGGATACCTGGAAACACTGCAGTATAAAGAAGAGCTGGCAGAACTAATATGCATTCTATATGGGAGTGGGCAACCAGGGAAGGATGTGATAATACCTTTAAAAAAATTGACTTGATCCTAACCTACATTGTGGCTGAGCCAAAGAGAGAGTTTTTAGCTCACCAGTCACAGAAAAAAACAAACAAGCAACAACAAAAAACAATTTTGATAGTATTTCTCACCCAATAGTGAAATGAACTGCCTTGAGAAATGACAGAAAGATTAGGTTCAAGGAGCAGACCTGAGATTGAACTGCATCTTCCTGGATCTCTTCTCAACTTGCCCTTGGGTGATGAGAGCCAGTACAGAGCCCAGCCCTTTGGACGCCCACATACCTGTGACTGATAGTGAAAACACAGTCAAGGACTAGCACATGAACACATTCTCATGCACAAAACCATGCTGCATGGACCCTCCCCTTCATTTCCATTATTTTCTCCCCATATTTCTATGTTACTATAGCTCTAACATAAGGAACAAAATTGCATAGATTTTTTTTTTTCTAAATGGCTATTAAACTTTTGGTTCCTTTTCTATCAGGATGCACACTGTCAGTTTGACCTGAGATAATCCTAACTCTTCTGAGAGATTTACAGCAAGGCAAATACCTCTCATTCCTCAGGCTTCCTGGACCATGTGGTGACTGCCTTCAGCCAGGCACTGAAAGGCACCCTTGCCCCAGAGGGTGCCTTCTCCCTGGTGTGGCCCCAGGTCAAGGCCAATCAATTTTGCTTTGAGGGAAGGAATGTGAAGCACGTATCTCCAAGAAGGTCCAGATGTTATGTTGCTCTTTCATGACTGCTTTTGCTAAATGACATATGGTGGAGTCCTTGAGAGTTGGGCCAGGCATTGTCAGGAAAGCCCATCACTGATGGCCAGGCCCCCTGTAGGACAAGGGAAATGTAGATGAAATAATAGAAGAATGACATGTCACAGTACCTGGGGACTAGAAGGTGGTTTTCAAGCCAGAGAACCTAATACTCCACATAGCTCAACCTCTTCATGTTTATAGATGTGGGAATGACTTCCCAGAAGTGAAATACAAGGTCAGCTCTAGAATAAACCTGGAATAGTCAGAGATGTTCTTACATGGCCCAGAAAGTTATTCCCCTCTGGGTTTATACCTGTAGATCCTTGTTTAGCTCATCAAGTCTTGGCTCTGAACACACTATACCATTTAGGCTGCAGGACATCCACCACACTCAAACACTTTCAGAGGCATTGATGTATTTTAAATATTTACATGCACCCTGTTTGCCACCCCAATGTCACATGTTAAAATCTTAAATTCCAAGGTGATAGTATTAGAAAGTGGATGGGCCTTTGGGAGATAATTAGGGGGGAGCCTTTGTGAACAGAATTAGAGCCTGTGCCCATTTTTGCAACTGTAACATTTATTACATACTGGATTGTCTATAAGTAACAGAAATGTATTCCTCCCAATTCTGGAAGCTAGAAAGTCCACAGTCAAGCTAGTGTGGAGTGTGATGAGAATTGATTTCTGCTTCTAAGATGGTCCCTTCTTACTGGATGGGATCCTCTTGAAAGAATGGATATTACTTCATCATATGGTAGAAAGTCTGAAAGTGGGCCACGTGCATAAGGAAGCTTCTTTCCTGAGGGTCAGAATCTCCTTTTCAAGGGAGGAGCCCTGCTGACCCAGTGACTTCCCAAAGGCTATAACTGGTAATATCACTGCATTGGAGGCCAAGTTTAAACATGAGTGAAACACAAACACTTGAACCACAGCAGTGCTCTTATTTTAGAAGGCCCCAGAAAGCTCCTTCCTTGCCCTCCGATGGGAAGGGAAATGGCTAGAAGCCATCATGTTTGAGGAAACAGGTTCTTACCAGGCGCTGAATCTGCTTACACCTTGAACTTAGGCTCCCCAGCTTCCAGAAGATTGAGAGACAAGTTGTTACTGTCTATAAGTCCCCTAGTTTATGGCACTTTGTTCTAAGCTAGAACAGACTAAAGTAGAGATTCCATCCAAGGAAGGTGCTGAATTTCCAAGCAGAGCAGGGGGCCATACCCCCAATGGAAAAAAGAAAAGCCCCTGTCTACAAGCAACCAAGGGGAAGTCCGCCATCTAGTGACAGTTCACTGTGGGCAACTACCCCACTGGGTAATCAGATTCTCTCTTGAGAATTCAAATCAACAATGAGGGGCAGTGTTATACAAATTGTTCAGAAACAATTTAATGCTTTTCAAGACAGAGATTTCACTATACAGCCTACTCTAGAACTGCTCTAGAACTCATAGATTCCCTCTGCCTTTGCTTCCCAAGTGCTAGTATTAAAGATGTGTGCCAATACACAGGATCAAGCCCGAAAGTCTGAATCATCAAGAAAGGAGAAAAATCTTCAGCTGTTAATTAAGTAACCTTTCTGTTCCGTAATTCTTGTTTTTCTTGTGTCCACCCTTTCCTGTTATGGAGAGATAGAGACAAACAGACAAATAGACAAACAGACAGACAGAGAAATAGAGAAGCAGCCCCAACCCCCTACTTTCCAGCATAAATAATTGGAGCAATTCTTGTATCGTTTACTGTTTAAATTCCTGCCCATTACTGCAGAGGTCACCTGACTCCTCACCCTTCTGTTTAACAATGAGAGAAAACTCCATTTATTCTAGGTACAAAGATGGTTAACTCTTATTCCTCAGTCTTAAGTACCTATACCTTAGCAGGAAGTGGAGGGGGGGAAACACTATTACTACTCAGTAATGATTATGATGAAGAGAGCAACAGGCAGTGTTGAGGCAGAAAACTCATGAATGTATAGCCCATCTGGGGAACTGGATATGAGAGCAGGGAGGGGCATGGAGAAAGAGTTGCCCGAATGATAGGATTTCAGCAAAGGAAGAGCAGGGCCAGGCATGCCAGCTTTCATCAAGGGCACCGAGCCAAGGTTCAGTATGAGTATGTGGGAAAACTGCAGTTTGACAGTCAGAGGACTGTTAAGTCAGCAGGGCATAGCAAGAAGGAGGCTGAAGCTTATCAACAAAGATAAGAAACTCAGGTTTCATATTCTGGCGGAGTCTAACCCTCAAGTCAAGGCCAGAAACTCTGTCCCAAAACAAGCTTCACTGAGCCTGTAGACTAGACTTTTCCAGAGTTCTGAATTTGAATGTCATTAGTCAGTCAAGCTCCAGTTCATCAAGGTCCCTACCACACCTCCTTGCCCATGTTCTATCATGGAATGTATTTCTGTCTGCCCCTGCTGGGTGTGGTCCTTACTCTCAGAAGGGTTGTTAGTTTTCTGTGGGTAAGAGAGAAGGGCATGATTGGACCCCTGCTTTACATAGGTTATCTCTGGAGATATGGCAGGGGAGGGGAGGCTTTGGAACGGTGCTCTCGAGGCAGAGACATCCCTTAGAAGGACTGCAAAAGACCAGCCAAAAGATGTCAAACACCTATAGCTATGCCCCTGAAGGGAATGGTACATGTAGTAGAGTGTCATGCATCATCTCCTCCTGGTATTCCAGCAACTGTAGAGCTTTTATTACCGCCATCTCTCTTTGAAGGCACAAAGAGGCTCAATTATCTCTACACAACGTTGACCTGAAATTCAGACTCCAAGTTACACGACAGTAGATTTCACCCAACTGCAATCCCTTGTGTGGAATTTTTGTGGAGTCCGCCATAGCCCAGGAGCCATAACTGTGGCGTGATGGAGAAGGGGGACTCAGCTGAAGTGTAGTATGGACTTTGGGACCCAGATGCCTGAGAAAATAGAACCAGGGAAAAACCACAGAAGAAGACACACTGATTCCGTGTGCTTGGAGCGGGTAGATTTCATGAAGTGTCTGAGGCTATTTGGGCTGCAATAATGTATACTATAGACTGGGTAGCTCATAGAAAACATATGCTTATTCCTCACAGATCTGGAGAAGTCTTTGGCAAGATTCAGTATCACATGAGGACATGCTACCCCTGTGTCCACATGTCAAGAAGGACTGATTCCTCCAGGGTTTCTTTAATAATGGCATTTACCCTGTTCAGGAGGCCTCTACCCTGACCTAGTCACCTCCTAAAGCCCCACCCTCTGATATCATAACACAGGGAATAAAATTTTGGCAAACGAATTGGGAGTGGGGCACATCCATACCACAGGACTTGTCAAAACCTCTCTACATTTTCCCCTCAGAATATAAGGGGAAAATAACCCAAGCTTTGTTACACAAACGCCAAAGCAAGGTTAGGTGTCATAATTGGTTGACATAATCACTGGCTTTGAATAGGGTCAGAGGATCCCTCCTGGAAGGGCCCTAGACTAGGAGCCTCCATCTCCTTTTCTCCCCCAATTCTGAGGAAAATTTAGAAACAACCCCATTCTCTGAGCAGCACCCCCAGTAACTGAAGTGCTCCCTCTAAGACAGAACTTTTCGAAGTACAGTTCTCAGCAGATAGCATGGACGTTGTTAGAAACAAACAAGAAATAATCTCAGTGTCGTGCAAAGGAACACACAGCAAAGAAAAAGTAGCTCAGGAGGTCATTCTTTCTGTAAAGGGCTAGCAAGCACACTGGCCAGCATGGCTCCCATCCTTTATCCCTGACATCAATGACAGCATCCCACCCCATCAGCAGGAACTAGACTTCACAATCTAATGCAGTTGGCTAATTTTTGTGAAGGGAACTGTGAAGGTTCGGGAAATATGAGTCCTTGTTGACCCAACTGCCTTTAATTTCTAAAACAAAAAGGCAGGGAAGGTTCTTACGACACAGTTGGGTACTTGCAATGCTGGATTCTCAGGCCCCTCCATAGACCACTGGAATTGGAAACTCAGAGGTCTGGGTCCAGCGATCAGCTTCCACAAGCCTACCACGGGATTCTGACACTAAAGACCGAAACCATTGCTCTAAAAAGCAGTAGAACACCAATCGTGTTCTATTGAATTTGTCAGCGAATCTCTGCTGAGTTCTGGATTTCATCCAAGTGAAAATGCTCCATCAAGTCATCCAGAGACCCAGATGTTATTGGTCAGAGTGTGCATGAGCAGGTAGCCTGTTGGGAGGCTAAGATTCAAGTTTCACGTTAGCTTTTGAAATGTTTATTTCTTGCTCTGATCTCAGCTGTGATGATGGCCCCTTTGGGAAGCCTCTCCTGACCTTCCTGGACTTGTGTCACATGTTGCTGCTCATCATCCCAGTACTTGTCACCCTTTGGTCACATACTCCTCACTCTGAGCCAGATGGATAGAGATGTTGGCTTTGTTGCTTGCCCTTGAGTTTTCAGAATCTAGTAGTAAGACATTCAATAATTTATGTACTTGATTGAACACTTAGCTCACCTTTGCTGGGAAAGTCCCATTATGGTAGCCTTGGCCTGAGTTGGTGC